CTTGACAATAAACTGTTTGCCAAAATAAATAAATAAATAAATAAAAATTAAAATTAAAAAAAAATCTTACCAGACCCAACCAATATATAAAAATTTTCACGTTTAAAAAAAAAAAATTAAATAAATAAATAAATAAATAAATTGCATCCACGCTTCAAAAAAAAAAAAAAAGTATGGGACTTTTTCCCAGACCAAAACCCCTGCAGCAGTATGTGCGTGCCTTGGGAGGAGGGGAGCCAGCTCCAGGGCACTGTAGCAATCTCAGGGGCACACTGGGAGAGGACAGTCCCTTCCCTTAAGTACTAGGGGAAGAGTGTATATTGCCCTCCAAGGACAAAAGACCCTGCAGGCACCAGCCATATCTGCAGGGCAGAACCGGGTCTGTGTAGTGTGGAATCCTTTAAAACTTGGGGTTTTGAATCCCAGCTGAGTGCCTAGGAGGCGCAGGAGATTGTGGAACAGTGCAAGTCCCCTGGTGGGGGAGGAGAAATTGGGATTTCAGCATTTTTCTCCCCATCACCAACCCGGTGGGGCTTTAGGGAGCAGCACAGCAGCCCCCAGTGGAGGCAGGACCCATTTACACCAAACCCCACTCATCCCTAGCAACAGAGCCTAGCAACTGTTTATCTACTAAAGTGAGACTGACAAAGACCGAACCAGATGGCCTCTCCTTCAGACCAGCACAGCCACCGGTCCCAGGCACCAACAGCTAATTCTCCTATGGTTTTGTATGTTAGTCTGTTGCTCTTTTTTGTTTCTTTTTTTTTCTTTTCTCCTCTTTTCTCTTATTTTTCTTTCTACCCTCTTCTTTTTTTCCCTTTGGAATCAGGCTCATAGTTTCTGATTTGACTTTTGGTCAATTCTTATTTTATATATACATATATTTTTCTTTCTTTCTCTGCTTTGTTTAATCAGGCATTTTTATTCTTTTTACACCTTTTCTGTATCTCCTTTATTTTCCTTTCTCCCTCTCTGGATTAAGTCTTATAGTTTCTTTGATTCTCTCTGCTTGGTCTTTTTTTTCACCCCTTTCATTTCTATCTTTGTATGGGATCAGACCCCTGGAGCTTTCCTTTCTTCCTGGGTTACTTCAACAAACAAATCAAAACACATTTGGTGGAAGGTCTAAACAATCCACCACTACAAGTAAGAAGAAGCTTTGTAGAAGACTGACCAGTGGGATAGAACAGCCAAATACACACAACAGAGTGCATGCAATATGCAAAAACATTTCCTGAAGTGCCAGGCCATGGGCAGTATATGACCCCATTATAATACTGTACTTCTCACAGGTGCAGGACACATTACAAGCATTTAAAACATGTAAAAGACAGAACCTAGCCGAAGTGACAAAATGGAAGAATTCTCCTCAAACGAAATTCCAGGGAGAAATGACAGCCAGAGAATTTCTCAAAACAGATATAAACAATATATCCGAAAAGAATTTAGAATAATAGTCATAAGACTAATAGCCAGGCTTGAAAAAAACATAGAAGACAGCAGAGAATCTAGTGCTTCAGAGATCAAAAGCCTAAGAACTAGTCAAGATGAATTTAAAAATGCTATAACTGAGATACAAAATAAACTAGATGCAGTGACAGAAAGGATGGAAGAGCAGAGGAGAGAATAGGAAGATAAAATTATGGAAAATAAGGAAGCTGAAAACAAAAGGGAGAGGAAATTACTAGACCATGAGGGGAGAATTAGAGACCTAAATGATCCAATGAAATGACTAACATCTTTATCATAGGAATTCTAGAAGAAAATGAGAGAGAAAGGGGCAATAGGTTTATTTGAACAATTTATAGCTGAAGAAACAGGCATCCAGGCCCAAGAAGCACAGGGAACTCCCTTCAAAATCAACAAAAACAGGTCAACACCACAACATATCATAGTGAAACTGGCAAAAAACAAAGATAGGGAATTCTGAAAGCAGCTAGGGATAAATGGGCCTTAACCTATAAGGGTAGACACTTAAGGTTAATAGCAGACCTGTCCACTGAAACTTGGCAGGCCAGAAGGGAGTGGAAGGAAATATTCAATGTGCTGAATGGGAAAAATATGCAGCCAAGACTCCTTTATTCAGCAAGGCTGTCATTCAGAATAGAAGGAGAGAGAAAGGCTTTCCCAGACAAACAAAAATTAAAGGAGTTCATGATGGCTAAACCAGCCCTGTAGGAGATCCTAAGGCGGACTCTGTAGGTGGAAAGCAGCAAAGACAACAAAGGATGGGAGATATCACCACAAGCACGAAATCTACAGATAACACAATGACACTAAATCCATACCTTTCAATAATCACTTTGATATAAATGGACTCTATGCCCCAATCAAAAGATATAGGCTATCAGAATGGATTAAAAAGAATCCATCTGTATGCTGCCTACAAGAGACTCATTTTAGACTAGAGGACAACTGTACATTGAAAATGAGAAGATGGAGAATCATCTATCACAGTAATGGACATTAAAAAAAAAAAAGCCAGATCAGCCATACTTATATCAGACAAACTAGATTTTAAACCAAAGACTAACAAGGGATGAAGAAAGGCATTATATCATAATTAAGGGGTCTATCCATCAAGAGGGGCTAATGATTGTAAATATTTGTGCCCTCAGTGTGTTAGTACCCAAATATATAAATCAATCAATCACAAACATAAATAAATTTATAGATAACAATACTATGGTTGTAGGAGACTTTAATACTCCACTTTTACAGCAATGGACAGATCATCAAGGCATAAAATCAGTAAGGAAACAGTGTCTTAGAATGACATTGGATTGTATGGACTTACAGATATATTCAGAACTTATTATCCTAAAGCAGCAGAATACACATTTTTCTCGAGTATACATGAAACAGTCTCTAAAATAGATCACATACTGGGTCACAGAAGAGTTTTCAACAGGTACAGAAAGAATGAGAACATACTATGCATATTTTCAGGTCACAAAGCTATGAAACTTGAAATCAACCACAGAAAAAAACTTGGAAAGACCCCAAAACATGAAGGTTAAAGAACATCCTACTAAAGAATGAATGGGTCAACCAGGAAATTAAAGAAGTTAAAAAATACATGGAAGCAAATGAAAATGAAAACATGACATTCCAAACCCTTTAGGATGCAGCAAAGGCAGTCCTAAGAGGAAAATACATTGCAATCCAGGTCTATCTCCAGAAGCAAGAAAGGTCCCAAATATATAACCTAACCTCACACCTAAAGGAACTAGAAAGACAGCAGCAAAGAAGGCCCAAATCCAGCAGAAGAAGAGAAATAATAAAGATTAGAGTAGAAATAAAAAATATAGAATCTAAAAAAACCCCAGTAGAACAGATCAGTGAATCTAAGAGTTGATTTTTTGAAAGCATAAACAAAATTGATAAACCCCTAGCCATAATTCTCAAAAAGAAAAGGGAAAGGATCCAAATAGATAAAATCACAAGTGAAAGAGGTGAGATCACAACCAACACCACAGAAATACAAACAATTATGAGAGAAAACTATGAAAACTTATATGCCAACAACCTGGATAATATGGAAGAAATGGACAAATTCCTAGACACTCACTCACTACCAAAACTCAAACGGGAAGAAATAGAAAATTTGAACAGACATAATCAGTGAAGAAATTGAATTGGTTTTCAAAGATGTCCCAACAAATAAGAGTCATAGGCCAGATGGCTTCCCAGGGGAATTCTACCAGTTATTTAAAGAATAGTTAGTACCTCTTCTGTTCTGTTCCAAAAATTAGAAATGGAAGAACGAGCTTCCAGACTCATTCTATGAAGCCAACAGAGCTCAGAACAGAGCAGAGTGATCTTCCTGAAGCATTAATCAAACTACTTTCTTACTCTGCTTAATGCCTTCTAAATCATCTCTATTTTACTGGAATAATGTCTTAAGTTTTTGGTATGGCTTTATGTGGCTTTCTATAATTTGGTTCCTGCTACCTGTCTCATCTCATCTTACTCCACTCTCCCCCTCATTCACTGCACTCCAGCAGCATTGGCCTTTCAGCTCCTTTACCATTCCAAGCTGATTTCACACTGAGGCCTTTACACTTGCGGTTTCCTCTGCCTAGTAGTTTGTTTGTCCAGCTCTTCAGCTGGCTGCCTCTTCTTTCTCAGACTTCAACTCAAATATGCCCTCCTGAGAAAGGCCTCTTCACCATAGGTGAAGTGCCATGTTTATATATTTTTATAATACTTACAAGTGTTTGAAATTATTTTATGTATTTATGTGTTGTTTATTTGATTGTTTATTGACTATTTCCTTTCTCTAGAATAGAGCTTCTGTGGTAACCTATTATGCTGAAATACTGATCCTTCAGCCTTCAAGAATGCTGGGGTTGGCCTTATGTCAGTTTGGCTACACATCTTCTCAATTGCGTGACCTCAGTGTTGTGTATAAAAGAATATTAATTAGTGTGTTTGCCATGATGTGGAAAACGTTAAGAAGCACTGCACTAGAATACAAATTACTTCAGGACAAAAGAAAAGTTGGATTTACTGTTAATACCATATGTGCCTGGGAACACTTCAAAGAATGTAAGGAAATATTGGAGTGTCTGCCAGGCATATTTGGATGAGTTCAACCCTGGACACTTCCTTCCTGCTAGGTGGCAAGATCTGTTTGACTTGTGCTAACCAACCTCCCCATTTACCAGCAGTGTTTAACTATCTGAGGCTTCCTGCTGGCTAATAATGACTTATGTGTTGGAAGAGATTAGAAAATTTGGGAATGTCTTTCTCCCACAAAAATCTCCAAGGTCAGTTTTATGTTTGATTTGTCTTAGCCAAATATTAGATCCTTGGCCTCAGTGGTTTCCAGTTCTATCTTGTTCACTTAAGAAGTTCTTACTGAGTAGCTACTACAGATCAAGCACTATACCGTGAGCCTTCCATTGTTATTTTACACTGTAAATTATTTTAGAGAAGGAATTTTCTAAATGCTATGATATATGTGTGTCTTGTATGAAAATCTTTCATAATTTCAGCTCAACCCAGAACAAAACCTAGCGAATTGGCTGATTTGGTTGGTCACTTAGAAGATTCTGTCAACAAAAGGTAATTTATTTTAACATTTTTCATATTTTATTGTGTTCAATGATTTTTTTTTAAAATAGGAAGAGTTCTACACTTTTTTTTTTACTGGAACAGAATGAATGTATTCTGGCTTATTATTACCATTTAGGTCCATACTATAATCCAGTGAATGGTCTAAGAGTGTCCTACTAGTCAGCATCACATTCATACCTTGAGCACATGCTCTATCTGCTTCAAGTTGACAGGCAAATGGAAAGAAGAACATGGAAAAAAATGAATGGAGAGAATTCAGTTGTGTTTTTGTAGTATAGACAAGATTAATATACTACAATATGGATGTAAGAAAAATAGCTGTGTAGTTTTGTATAAAGTTCTGATCTTTTTCATTAGATCCTCAGACTCAGTAAAATCATGTTAATCCAGCATGTTTTAAACTTCGGAGCAATAATGTATAGCCTCTTTAAGTTTATCACAGTCCTCTTTCTTTCTTAAGATGGTATCTGAGTATGTGAATGAGATGCTCACTAGACTTTGTGATATTGAGAGAAAGAGACTTGAGCAAGTATTCTGGTCAATGTCCTTGGGCTGCTGGTCTCATTCCTAGGTGTTCTGAGGCTGCTGACATCTATGGTTCATGAATGTATGATCTATTCTTTCTGAACTTGGATAGGATCCACTCTCAACTCTCATTACTAAGGTAGAACCCTCTGAGCCTCCGTCATGACTTTCATCTGTCTTTCGACTGTCCATGCCTCACTCATGCTAGGCCTTTGCTATGGGATACCTCACCCCTGACATGGCAACCACCTTGGTAAGCCAAACTCAATGTTAATGTCACATGTGAACCATAGAAAATATGGAATGAAAGTTATATTCTCTTTCTGCCTATAACCATACCATACCATTGCATTCTGTTAACAAAGCTGGGGCCACCCTATGTTGTCAGGAAGCTGCCTTGCAAAATACCTTTTCCCCAGATTCTCAACAAAGGATATGGCAAATACCTCTCTACCTTTGGTTTTCTCCTCAATCTGCATAATATACCTCCTCCCCACTCAAAAGCCAAAGAGACATATGTATTATTGTATTACTCCTTTTCCCCCACATTTGCTATTTCCCCTAACAAGGCAGGAAGGAATAGTCTTGACAGATTGAAAGTATGTGGCTGAGGGTTTGGAGGAAATGTTGGCAGTGACTTTCAGAGATTGGGGAGACAAGCAAGAACTGACAAACTAGAATCAGTCCTAAAATCAATCATTATTTATGCTAAATTTGTGCTCATTTTCAGAAGAAAATCTCCCCCACAGATGGATGATTTTAGCACAAAAGAAAACAAAACCATCAGAAATGATCAATTAAGTGAATATTGTTCAGTAAGTAAGAAAAGCTTGCTCCCTTTGTGCTTTGAGGATGAACTTAAAAAACCAAATGCCAAGATAATCAACATTAGTCCAGCAAAGACAGTAACTTCCCACATGGTAATAATACCTACTATTGTTCAATAAATACAGGCATAAGTACTACTTGTAGGAATCTTATATTCCAGTGACTAGAATCTTTGATAAATTCTTTTTACTTCTCAGTTTTGCATTGCAAAGTGACAACCACACTTAGATTCTCAGTGCTCCTTTTAGAACCGCCACCCCAAAACTGGGATGCCTCTTCATCAACTGAAAATTTTGTGTCTTTATTTATGCAAAAGGCTTTGTCAAACTTTCTTGATTATAAAAGAAATATAGAACAAATTTTGTATTTTTTTAAAATGACTGCATTACATTTAACTTTTCTAACAATCTATTTTAGCTAACTGAATCATAAAATACATACATTAAAGGCTATTTGATAGCTCACAGAGCCTGTAGGAAGGCTGGAGAAACAATCTGGCTTAAAAGCTACCCAGTCAGGAGTCCCCCATTTACAACCCAGACTGCTCCACCCAGACCCATGCTTTCGTTACAGAGTTTATGACTCTGATTCTCGACAGAAGATGCTATTTCTAAGACCCTTGCTATTGCTGCCCTTCAAAGCAGGTATATCTACTACCATTTTCACAAAAGTCATTTTCAAATAGCCCACCTTTTCCCAGCTCTTGCTTTCTGTGAACTGAAGACTATCTGAGGTATATCTGATTGACAGAGCATGGGTCACATGCCTATGCCCTAACCTCAAGGGAGGCTAATAAAGTTAGTTTCTGCCTCTATGTAAGAGTACAGAGATTTGTAAAGTGGAAAATTCTCAGAGGCATTGGACAGACCAAAAATTTAAACAAATAAGTCTTCACTACTGTGGCTAAATAGGTAACACTGACATCCCAATGGATTGCAAAACCAGATCTTTCATCATCTTTTTAGTAATTATAAGCAATTATACACCTTTCTCACTAAGTATACTGTTGTACAATTAGATGATTCTGGTTTCTTATGTCATGAGTTGTCTTTCTACAGGAAAGGTAGCAATCACTGACTTAAAGTTTGCAAAGTAAAATCTGATAATATGCATATTTGACCAGTTTATTTGTAGTTAATCCTTTTGCCCCATAATGGAAATATGGGAAAGAGTTTAATGAGTAGCTCATACACACAAATTTTGCTATTACCGTGACAAAAGTAGTCTATTTTTAAGTCAATCTATTACTTTGGCTACATTATTCCACAAATACATATTGAGTGCTTTTTATGTGCTAAATGTTGTCGTAAAGGTTGGAGTACAAGATTAAATATAATATAAAGATAATTTTAGATTCTTGGAATATTTATTAGGATATGAAGACTTTGTAGTTTTGGCTTAAATCTGGTTATGACCTTTGACAATTCTTTTTTTTTTGGTATGCCTTTTATTTCTGGACATGGAAACCTAAGAAAAATGCCAGAGCAATGTTCCATCCCACCAACTATCCTATTTTTCCAATGACATCTCAGACATCTAAGAGATGTATTTATTTTGTCATATCTCACTTTATTTCAGAAAGGATTTTCATAGCCCAAAAGTTCAGATTTTACCCCTAACATCTTGACAGATTATTAAGAGAAGGAGTGTGCCACATATAAGCACATCTTTTTTTGTGTGTTTGAATACCGTTATTGTTCATATTAAAAACTTCTCTGTAGTCATTTTTAGGATACTTTACCATTTTATTTTCATGTTTAAAAATAAGTGTAGTCTTCTTGTCCAACTAGACTGATGACTAAGTACTCTTTTCTTTAATCCACAGGAACAAAATGACACAAATCCCATAATTTTCCATGAAACTGGATATGTACAAATGTTACTTTTGACAAAAAATAAGCTTCCTCTCCATAGTATGAAAGATGAAAACATTTACCCACATAAAAGAGAAGATTTTGTCTTAGAAAGAAATTGTGAAATCCTCAAATCTTTAATTAGGGATCAATTTATTATTCCTTCCAAACCTAAAAGAATTCTGCCTACAGCATGGAAAAGAGATATACAAGCAATATCTTTTGAAGTGGGCCATAGAGTTGTAGAGAGTAAACAAAGGAAGAAAACTAGTAAGAAGACATTTGAAAACGTATCCTGGAGTAAACTCTATAATTCCTCACAGACGTTTTCCAGCCTAACAAAAACTGTTACTCAAGATATGAGTGCTAGACTTGGCAACTTTGAAAGAATGTTTTCTACAGTAATACCAATTAGCAAATTCAGTACCTTACCTGTCAAATATTGTTCAAAGCCTTTAAAAAATACACTCAAAGTCCATAAGTTAAATAATGTAACACCCTTGGATGATTTGTTAAACTAGTCAAGTGAAAATTAGACCCCTCAAAAAATATTGTTTACACAGCAATATTCAGGTAACAAAAAGGAAATAGTGAAGTTCCAAGATCATAGAAGAAACTGTTACCTAAATAATGTCCTAATGGATGGCATAAGAAAGCAAAGCATAGAAATTGGAATTATAAATCAACAGTCATCTATTCAAGAAAAGCCAATATTTTTAGTAAGTGAAAAGACAAAATTAGGAAATAATTGTCACCAAGAGGGACTAATTCATGAATTTTTATGATCTCAATTAGATTCTTCAATCATCAGCATTTCTATCGTAAAGTCTGATTTGGGACCAGGAATGGCATACACCGTCTCTGGAAATTTGCTGTTGGAAGCCAAACAACATCAATAACCTTGCTCAATAATTGAATATCAAGTAAGACAAATGTACCATTAACTTGACGCATGTGGAATTATATGATTATATATCAGCATTTTGGATAATCATTGGAAAATAGGATTACATTAGCAACTCTTGCAATTAAAAACACTTTGTAAAATTTAAAGTAGCTTTTTGTTAGTAGACATTGGAACTCATTGCTTCATAATGCCTTTTATAAGTACAACTTTGACTTTTTTTGGAATTGTTAAATAATTTAAAAGAATAATCTGCAATAAGCTAAAATTTTTTGATACCAAGATCTACTGTATTTCAATAAGTTATATTTCAAAATTTCATTTTTAATCCATTTGTTTAAAATTTTTTTAAAAATCTGAACTTTTAGTACATGAGGAGAAGTAGGTTTAATTAGGAACATTTCTTTTAGGGGAAGGCTTTGGGGGTCTTTGGAAACTTTTAAAGGTTGAGGACATAAAATATGTTCAAGGTTCCTGTTTCCACTTCACACTGGAGGTTTTCTTTACTGTGGGCCATCAATGCTCTTTTTGGGCACTTCTTCCCAAGTAGAGTCAGGTTTTGGGTCTAAAATAGAATGGCAAGGAGAGAAAATGGAGATGGGGGAGGGGATGGGGAAGTGGTGTACAAGTGGAAACGCTAAGTGAGGGAAGAGCAAGTACTTACCTAAAGCAAGAGCTTTAAGATAGGGTGATGGGCTCAGGTATGTAGGAGGTAGAAGAGGTGAATACATGCATTCCTGGTTCTTTACCTTTCTTCTGGTTATTGGAGGAGTAGCAGCAGCAGCAACTCAAAGTTATGAAGTCATCTTTCTCTTTTCCAGCAAATAAGGATTGATCCTCTTGTTCTCTTGGCTTGCTGTCATCCATTTGCTTCACCTCCCCACTCCCATCCCATCTTTGTTTTCCCTCCTCCCAGGCTCACTGCAAAGCAAAACAGTATCCCTAACTGCCCTGCTGGCTCAGAAGGTAAAACACAAACTTTTTAATCACTAACAATAAAAATAATAAGAAATAGAAAACATACCTAATAATAGTACAATTAATGGTGGTAGTTTTTCTTGATACTCACTATAAGGTAATGAAATGTGGGCCTTGGATTTGGGCAGATATGACTAAACCTGGGCAAACAATGTAAACTATCTGAGCCTCAGGTTACTGTATCCTCCCCTTGAGAAGGGACAGTACCTTATTGCAGTATTATTATTTTCAGTGTTAAAAAATTAATGTGGAGTACCTTGAGTATAATAAGCATTCATTAAAAATTCCCTTCCTATTTCCACCCTTTACCCTGCTCTTAATATAACATCCTAAGAGATGTTCCCAAAAGTGTCTTTTCTAAATTAAATGCTGGAAACACTACAGTGTTTGAACTTTAGCCTAAAGTAGATGCAGATTAGAAGTGAGGAATTTTGTTTTAGTTGTTTTTGGAAGTTTCTGCTGGAACTGGTGAGCTTTATCTTTTAGAAAGAACTACATCAACTTAAAAATTCCATTTGACTGAGAATTCTCCATTAAAACAGCTGGACAGCTGGGAGCAGTGGATTCTGGGAAGGTAGTGACAAGTTCAGCACCTTTCTCTTTTACTCTCAGCTTCCATCTGCCATCTTATAAGCCAGATAGCTGCTGAGATCGTCAAGAAGTGGGGTGCAAGGTTAGACATGGTTTCTATTCCGATACTGAGATCTGACTATGGCACTGGAGACCAGATTCTGAGTCACAAGGCAGGCAATGATGGAGGTTGTGTTGTGTCCTGAGACCAGCTGGCTGTTGGGATCTGTGGATTACCCAAGGGAAATATTGCCCTTGGTCCTATAAAAGTGTTCGGTCTTGCTGGCCCCAAGAGGCCAAGAAGGAACCACAAAGCCTGTGAGAAAACTGGGAAGTCAGAGATCGTGAAGTTTCCCTCAGATGCCTCACCAGGGGACTGTGGTCTGCTTGTTTCTAAAGCACCATTCCATAATGGGCAAGACTTTACCTTCCACCACTTAACAGTACTGTTGTCACTAGACATTGCAATAAACAGATCTGCGTTTCCCTGAGCCAGCTAAGAAAGTAATAACCCATCTAAAGAGCCAGCAGACAGTGACCAGCTACACAGGACTGTAACAGAAAAAGGGAAAAATTATGAAAATTGACAGAGACCTCATTTCAGGGATGAGGAGGAATAAGTAAACACAGTAATTTTATAGGATTAGCAATGAGAAAAATCATTAGAAAAAATAAAGTTGCTTCCTGTTTGGTAACTCTGCTAAGTCCAACTCTTTCAGTAACCAGTGAATAAATGAACAGAACACATAGAGCTTCTAGAGGAGACAAGGAACAATTTGATAAGAAAAATAATACAAACACTTAAGGACATTCAAGTGTAGCACACTGTACGTGTGTGTATATGCATGCACACACACACAAGCTTACATACCCACTATACTATTTTCTTAAAGATACCAGTTGGATTTATTATTACTTTCAAGAATAATCTTCATAGAAGAGTTAATGAGTAAGTGAGTAGAATGTGTAATAAAGCTTCCAAGTAAAAAGGGAAATGGGATTACTATGAAAAAACAAGAAAAAATTTAAAAAGAATGAATAGAAAATAAATCACAAAAATATTGAAATCAAGTATCTGTCATGATAATACTATATTTGAATAGGTTGAATTTTCCCATTAAAAGACAGGACTCTCAGACTGAGTTAAAAAAAAAGACACCTAACTGTATTCTGTTTACAAGAAATATAGTTAAAGCAATAAAGAAATCTTGAAAATAAAGTAGTGGGGAAAGAGACACCAAGCCAGTGAAACAAAAAAAAAGTTGGGGTGGTATTATTAATATCAGATAAACTAAAATCTAGGGTTAGAAACAATAAATAAGATAAGGACCTTATACCTTATATAATAATAAAAACACAATATATGAAAACAGCATCTTTGGTGTACTTTGTATGTGCCAAAGAAAAAAGTAACTAATTACATAAAGTAAAAATGACTGGAATTCCCAGGAGAATGTGATAAAAATAAAATAACGGTGGAAGACCTCAGTTCATCTGTTTCAGAGTTAAACAAGTAAAACAAAGCAAAACAGAAAAAATCCCAAAAGTATGATGCAGAGTAATTATACAATTTAATTAATGAATTTGATGTAATGAATATGGACCTCAGTTTCTTTGAAACAGAGAAAATAAATTTTGGGTTTTGTTCTTAGAAAATTGATTATATTGTGGACTATGCAGAAATACCCAGCATTTAAAAAAAATAAGTACAAGGACTTTAAAAATCCAATAAAATTAAAAATAAACATAAAGCAAATTCCAAATGTATTTGCTACTTGAAAATAAGGGATGAAGAAGAAACCAAAACTCAAGTTATAAAGTAGAAAATCAAAAAGAAACCATTTCATTACAAAGCCTGTGGCATAATAGCAAAAGCTAATTCAAAAGAAAATGTAAAGTTTTCATTTTTCTCCCTCCTCTACCCTCTCCTCCTTCTCTTTCTTCCTGAAAAGGATTTAGTGAAAAGGATCTCAAGGTTCTCATCTCAGGAAAATAGAAAAAGCATAAAATAAAACACAAGAAATTATAAATAGGAAATTAATACTTAAGTAGGAATAAAAATATAGTATAAAAGGATAAATAAAAGCAATAGTTGTTTTGTGTGTGTTTTTTAAAATATACATGAAAGCTGGAGGTTAAAATGTGGAGATTGGGTGGAGAATATGGAGTGGAGAATAGCTGTCTAGCAGCACCTGGATCATCTGTTCACTAGCCTGATTCCCCCTGCCAATAAATTATCCTGAATAAAACTTTGTATAAATGCAATGGAGTGCCTCACTTTGTTTTTTGTTATTAAAGGACTTAAGGGAAAGGAGCAAAAAGGGAATATGAATGACAAAAGAAACAACCATAGATATAGAAGAGAGGAAAGGAATCATAATATTACATGCAAGCTAACAAATTTGAAAAATCCAGGAAAAAGTGGGTGATCTCCTTTATAAAAAAAAAAAAAAGAACATGATTAAAACTGACCCCTAGAAATGGATATTTGGAATAGACCAATTTCCCAGAAAAAAAGTGACATTCACCAAAACCAGACTGAATTCGCAAGTCATTTTCCTTACTTTATTATTGAAGCCAGTGTGGTAGGCAGAATTCCAAAGTTGTCTCCCCAAGACTCAGGCCCCTCATTAATTAACCAAATACTAGTTTAGATAATGCTGTGAAAGGACTTTACATAAGGATTTAAGGGTACTAACCAGCTGACCTTAAAATATGGAGAATATTCTGAATTATTGGTGGGTCCAGTGTAATCACACGATCCCTTAAAAACAGAAGAATACAGAAGTCAGAGAGGTGTGGCAGAAGAGACGGTAAGAAGGATGGATTAGAAGTTGAGGTTGGAGACTTCATAAGGGCAAATTTTTGAACACTATTATTTACAACACTTCCAATTTGTTCACAATTACTTCCTCTGTGACTTTGCTATGCTTCTGCATAGTTGGAGTGAGTGGAGTGTATTTCCCCATTCTCTTGACTTGGGCTTGGTCATGTTATTTACTTTAACAAAGAAAATGTGAGTGTACATGATTAGCATGATTTAACTTTGCTCCTGTCTTCCACCATCACAACAGCATGGTTCAGAGAGTGGCCATTCTTTGAGCCTGGATGCCCATATGAGAAAAAATTTAGGGCTCAGGCCAGTGAGCAAAGCTCAGAAGAGCATCAGCCAACCCATGGCCCTCATGTAACATGGTCAAGAAATAATATTTTGATGTTGTAAGTCACTAAAATAATGAGGTTATTTCCAAACAAAAACAGACTAATGCAATGTAGGAATCTGACGATACTGACTCCATCTTTGGCCCTCCATCTTGTTCTCCTTTCCGGCCCACAGATGGTACCACTTTCATTAACTACCCTGGGACCTCACCACCATGTCCCTTGCTCCATAAAAGCTGAGGGTTAAGATGTGGAGAGTAGGCGGAGAATATGGAAAGGAGAATAGGTGTGTAGTACTACCTGGATCATCTGTTCACTAGCCTGATTTCCCCTGTCAATAAATTACCCTGAACAAAACTCTATAAAT